CAGTATCACCCAGAGAAGCCCACTGATCCACCCCAACCCCCCGTACCCCCCTGCATGAAGAGGCAGGGCTTAGGGAGGGCCGAGGCCCCGACTGGGAGCCCAGGGTCTGGCAAGAGCAGATGCCCCATGGCTTGCTGGCGGCCCAGCCCTGCCTGGGTGCTGGGGAAACCCCTGCGAGCCTCAGGACAGCAGCCTTTCCCTCCCAGCCCTCCCCATCTGTAAGTTCAGCGACGCTGTCTGAGGAAGCTGGGATGAACAGAGCACATCAGTACTTCCAGTCATTTGAGACAGACCCCAGTGGGTTTCCCTGGGGCTAGAAGCTGGAAACGCATGCGGAATTTTGAGCAGCTTCCATCGCTCAGACAACCTGATCTGCTGTCAGGAGGGTGGGCTTGCACCTGGACACACCAGTCCTCAGCCAGGGATCTGGGTTGCATCACTGAGATGATTTAGCTCAGTTCTCGGGGCTGTGGAATGAAGGTTAAAAGTACAGGCCTTAGAAGGCAGACTAAAGAGCTCAGGCCATGCATGTTGAGGTCATCTTGTAGGCTCTGTGTGTCACACAACTGTGGCTACTTGCTGGGGACATCCTTTGTCATCAGTGGACAGTTGCAAGGCTTTGACCTCAGCCACCATTTAGCCAACATTCTATTACAGTACGAGCAAAACGAAAGCACGTTGGAGTTTTGGGAGCTGTGGTGACAGCTCAGGCCTCTGGTGAGCCTTAAGACTTCTCATAATGCAGAGTGAATGCTGGGTGGGGACAGTCATGATGACTGTGGACAAAACGCCACAAGGCCAGCTTGAGGAGGTGGTTCCCCGGAAGGCCTGGGGGTGGCGGCTACCGGGGCAGGAAGCACCCTTAAGGCCATTCTGTAGTCATCCGTTTGGGCCACAGCACATCTGGAGCTGCCTGCTTAACTCTGGGCAGGGCAGGCAAGATGAGGAGGTTTGCAGCAGGCAATAAGTCACTGAAGGAATCAGAAGTGTCCAGGAAGAGAAAAACAAATAGAGGCGCCTGCGGTTATCCTTCCAGCCAGTGCCATAGCAATGGCGGAGCCTCTTTCCGGCCCCTCTGCACTAGGCCACTTCTGATACAGGGAGAAAAACTGATCTCGGGTGGGTGACCTCCAAACAACGTAGGGAAAAAGTCTCCTGGCCTGACCTGGATGAGTTCGTGTTCTCTAAAACCGAAGAATGAATTTTAGGAACAAACGGAGGTGATGAGCAGAATGTATTTATTAAGGGAAAGCTCCTGTCTGAAAGAGGGACAGGAGGGGGGGCCTGAGCGGGTTGTCCCCAGGAAGTTGTCTCTTCGAGGGACTTTTATAGAGGAAAACCATGTGGTGAGGCGGGTCTAAGGTGGTGGAGAACATGGGAACTCGCTTAGGTGGGCATGAGGTGGGACAAAACCATGGTCAACCAATGAGATTACAAGCACCATTGCTCAGGCAAAATTGATTAAATCCAGGACCCAATGGGGAAGCGACTCACGTAGCAAGCAGGCATGAATATGGACAGAGTCTCTTCCTTTTGGGGGTTGGGCTAGTAACTCATTTGGGCTCTTTCAAGGTGATTGATACCTATTTAGGATATCAATCCCTGATGCCCATCCCTAGGGAAGGATGTAGCAGTGCTTCCTTTTGTACTGGTCTTGAGGCATGGCCCATATGGGAGAGTCTGTCTCTTCCAAGTTGCACGGTCACCTTGTCTTCCATCTTGTCTCCTTGAGGGCCTGGCCCTGTCTGACTGCCTATAATATTTCTATCTAATTTGGCTGCCTGCAACACTTCCGCCCCCGCCTTCCCCTGTGAGTAGGCACCAGGGTCGTCCCTCGCTACCTCATTGCACGGATGAGAAGAGACTCAGCACTAGAGGCTCACATGTGGCTATGGAAGGAGGGAGCAGGGAGCAGGTCTCAGGCATTCTGTGGCAGCACTGGCACTTGCCACCAGTGAGCGCCAGAGTGGGGGGGGGTTGGAGATGCTAGTTTAAAATATCTGCAGGAGCATCCTATGGAAGGTGTGTTCCGCCCTTTGTGTTATGGGTCGCTCAGAATAGGAACCAGATCAGCCAGATTGGAATTTGGAAAGCCATTTACTACTGAGCTCAGGGCCCCCAATCAGCTCTCACACGGAAGACGAAAAGGTGGCTAGCCCAGGAAGCAGGGGGGGGTTTAAAACCTGGAACCACATTCAGTTTGGTAAAACAAATTCATTGTCTGACATAAACAATGCTTTCAGGATCATCGTGACCACTACTCAAACTGAATTTCCTGGGGCTTCGTGTTAGTTTCTGGTTATCTTGCCCCTGGGTACTTGCATGCAGCCTTGCATAGCCCGAGGTTACAAGAAGTGAAAGCCCATTTAATTTCAAGTCATTTCTGTAAGCTAACTTTGTTAACAGGAATTGGTGAGGCTTGCAGGAATTTTATCTAGCAAGCAGCAAGAAACAGCCACTAGTTACTAAACAACTTAGAACAGTGGTGAGTATACATTTTTACACAACAGAAAACACAAGATTTACATTTATAGTCTAAAATGTGTGTTGACCCGTTACACTTTGCTGTGTATTTTGAGAAGGCAGAGGTCGTCTCAGGAAGTATAAACCCTGGAAGGGAAATTCAGGGCAAGCTTATGATCCACTGCACTGAAATTATCTAGCCACTTGCAAGGCAGAGTTGGGGCCACTACGGATTCCTGAATACTGCGGGGTTGTCCTGGGGAACCTAGGGACTCCGTTAGGGTGTCACCATTCCATTAGGCTTTTCCTTGTGTGATATATGCATCTTGACCCAGCTCCTGCAGCAGGCCCCCTGCCTAGCTCTGGCTGGCCTGGACAAACTAGGACATCCCTGCTCTTCAGCCGCAGTGGGGCTGGGAGCTGGATCGCCCCTGGGCTGGGCAGAGTCAGACTGTGCAGGAGGCTAAGGCAGGCTGTGGCCCTCGTGTTCAAAGACCACTGTTCAGTGGGGTGAAGGGCCGAGGTACAATCTGAGGAGCATTTTAAGTATGGTGATGGACACAGAGGATCAGTTCTTATCAGCTCTGAAAATACATGGCACATCAAGTTGAAGTCAAGATCAGCTTCTCAGCAAATCTCTTCAGCCAGGCATGGTGGCGAATCCACATCCTCTAATCCCAGCACTCTGGAGGACTCCCTCAAATTCTGGACAGCCAGGACAACAGTGAGACTATGGGCCTCAGAAAACAAGAATAACAACAAGGGGACTAAATAGCTACACAAAAACCTTTTCGGTGGTTCAGAAACAGGCCAGGAGGCAGCCCTTTTTAGAGGGCATAAGGTAACAGGGATAGAGGAATTTCTTCCCCCTCAGAACCCTGCCTCCCATGCTCTTTGCTTACAGCGTGTGGGTCCCTGAAGGAGCTGCCTCCCCCCAGGCCAGGGGGAGCCCTTGTGCTCCAGGGCACCCCAGGGCACCCTGGTTCCTGCCCGGGGGAAGCCTCACTGCTTCCCAGCCTCCCTGGGCAGGGCTGGGTGTGTTCTGTTCTCTGCTGTACCTAGAGCAGTACCCCAGAGAGCAGGGCAAGGTGTGTCGGGAATGGCTCTTGGCACTAAGGAGAAAAAGGTGAAAGAGTCTGGTCCTGCCCCAAGGGGCACAGAGGGTGTCAGGGTGCTCCCTGGCGTCCTGGGAGGCAGGGCCTGTGGAGAGTAAGTGCCCAGGGCCCAGCAGCCTCCGGGCGGGCAGTCATGCAGCCTTCCCTGGTGCCCACGTTTTCTCCGTGCCCGCTCAGTGGTGCCCAGGGCAGGACCGGCTGGATGGGTGGTGGGACAGGTTCAGGCGTGCAGCGCGGGGCAGCGCACTGCGTTCTGGGAGGCCCTGCTGATTTGAGCGGTCCATCTTCGAGGCCGCTCCTGGCTCTGGGCCCGCAGCCCCGGGAGCATGAGGCTTTGGTGGCGGTGGCGGTGTGGTGTGAGGGCTTGCTGAGGACCTGGGCTGCGCTGAGCGGCAGACACAGGCATGGATCGGTTCTGAGAAGGCTGGGGGCGCGGGCAGCTGTGGCAGCGCTGTGCCGCTGGCAAGGAACAGACAGAAGGATCATGGGAAGCGACTCCAGGCTGGTGCGGAGACACGGGACGACAGACGCAAGGCCGGGAGTTACAGAGCGCAGCAGTCTGCAGGGCCGGGAGACCCAGGGACCTCATCGGGGGTGGGAATGGAAAAGGAGCCCAAGCTCCACACTTGATGTGGGAAGGGGGCACCAAGCAGCCGGCGCCGAGGGCCACACCGTCAGCAAAACCAAGGCCCGGGGCAGGAGGATTGCCCCTTCCAAAAAGCATCGGATGTGCTTCCAGGTGGCAAGGCAAGGCCGGAGCCGGGTGTGCGCAAAGGGGAGAGAAAGCGCAGGCAGGACCAGCTCCGCCTGCGCAAGGCCCCGTCCAGGGCTGTACCCGCTCGCCTGTGGGCCCCACAAGGCTGGGCGCCTTGCCCTGCATCCCGGCCAGCTGCGACTATGTCACTGCCTGTGTTCAAGCACGGAAGTGAAATCCCCATCTCCGTGTCACCTGGCATCTGATTCTCTGCACAGCAGCTGACTTGGAGATGCTGGATGGAAAAAGCCGTTTCTGTGACGAGCAGGAGCCGGGTTGAATCTGGAGTGCTGACGCATCACGTAGGCATTCAGACTGTGCGAACCAACCTGAGGCTGGGAGCCAGGGAGGGCACCGCTGAGGACCAGCCTAGAAGGCCGCAGGGCAAGCCCCTCCCTCCCTCCGCCGTCCCGGGGATGCAGCCCGCACAGAGAGTGTGGCCCCCGCGCGGGGCGCTGCTCACAGCCAGGCTCATGCTCTTCGGGGACTGTGTGCAGCGCCCCAGGGGTTCTGGGGAAGGATGTCACCGTCCAGGTCAGGAGGGAGCTGAGGGACGTGTGTGGAGACACGAAGTCAGAGAAGGCACCGTGGACACCGTGTGTAAAGAAAATGATTTATTTAAAGTGTTAAATGCCATCACCAGAATGAACTTGATTTACATTAGTTGGTGTTTGTTACAGGACTCATCTGCCCTTCCATTCCAGCTGGATTCCCTTTACGCTACTACGTACAGGGCAGCAGTGGTCACTGGCTTAGTGCTGTTCACACAACTAAACCACAAGTCGAGGTGCAGACATGTGAAAATTAAAAAAAGCACATCGACTTTTAAATAAATACTGCATAATGACAAGTATGTATAAATATCCCATACAGTCATGTCCTTCTTATTAAAATTAGAAATAATTTGTATAGGAATGCGCACAAAAGATCACGTGGCCGCCTCTTAGGATGAGGAGAACCATAAATGCTTATTCTAAGGGGTGGTGTAGACGCTCCGGGTCTGTGAAATCAACTGTTGCCAGTACTCAGGAGGCAAAATGATGTCAGGAACGTTTTATTCGTTCTTTGGCCAATCTTGCCTGGGCCATCGCACATTTAGAGTGTCAAGACACAGTCTTGGGGCAGCTCACGTTGCACCACACCAAGAGAAGGCATTTTAGTGATACTTTTTATCTTCTGTACCATATCAAGCATGACAGCTTTTTAATGGTCAGCACTGAATTAAAAAAAAAAAAAGAGTAATTTTTGTGCATGGCTTTCATTAGACAAATGCGATCCATATGGATTTCAACAATTATTGTAAGAAACTGAAACTAGTTCCTAGGAATATGTTATCAAAGAGCACATAAAGCCTAGGAAGCACGGGCGGTGGATGCTGTTGCCTGTGACCTCCTCTCAGAGGGCCGGAGGGGAGGTGCCTGCTCCCAGCTCTGCCCAGGACACCAGCTGCTGGGGAGCCAGGGCGGGGTTTCCACTTCAGGGTTGGCCTGCAGCCTTTGGGTGGTGGCCTCAAAGGACTATTCACAGGCATAGCGACTTTCTCTGAGTTGCCTAAAAATTGGAGCTTTAAAATTGCTGCAAATTTATGTCAACTATATCACTTTAGAAATACAATTTATGAAAAATTGAATTTTACTGCAGAAAAGTGAATAAACTACCCTGTGTTTTAGGGTTTCATTTTAGCAGTGTGTCTATTCACACAGTAAATGGAAACTGGCTAAAGAAACTGCCTTAACAAGTTACAAAACAAAACCTAAGTCCTCCAGCAGACGAGGTCTGAGCTCTGCCTGAGTGCCGTGGCTGCGGAAGCAGGCCTGGTAGAAGCCGCGATGCCACGTGGCCTCTAGTCTTTCCTGCAAAAGGAACTGTGAAGATGAAAACAGATGTCCGCGCACTGCACGACGAATTCAGAAGTCCTCCTCCCTCCTTAGCTAGATCCAGGCTGGCCCTGCCTCCCTGCACTCCTGAGCCGCACCGCAAAGTCCTTCCCGGCATCCCGGAATGAAGGGGGCTCTTACGAGGCTTCCTTCCCTCGAGGAGCGCACGAATTAGACACACCTACAGCTCTGAGTTAAACGCGGGCACGAGAGAGTCAGATCAAAATCATGTCAGCTTTTCGTTCACTCTGGTAGGGAAAAAGAAGGAAAGACCAAGACAGAGAGAATAAAAGCGAGACAGGAAGGAAGGAAGGTGTGAAAAGTTTGCACGTATTGAACGTCATGGGATTGTATATTTAATATGGAAATAAATGGAATATATTATATTTATTTGTCACATAAAGAGAATTTTAAGTATCTTCTAGAAAGTATTTCCATTTGTAATGTCTGCCAAAATACAGACTGTGATAAAGAATAGACGCGGTGTCTGTGTCGCCCGCTCGCATTCTCTCCCAGTTTTAAAACCATGCACTAGTGAAATTTATTTTTAAAAATAATATAAATTGTTGAAAATGGCTGATTTTTATTCTTTTTTTGCAAGTTGCAGCCCCAAGAAAATAATTTAAGTATTCAGCTAATCTGTGTCCATGCAAAAAAAGTGTCTTTAGTTTCATCCAGCACGGTGTAGCCACAGAATTTGGTTTCCAGAGTGCAGCGCCACGCAGCATCGGTGTGCAACGGCCTGTCGCTCTGCCCTGGGCGCAGCCGGCTGGCCGGGCGGCTCCAGCTCCCGCGCACTTCTTTGGCCTCTTGCTCTCCACCTGGTGCTTCCCAGGACCTGGCTCCTGGGCCTGTGACATGGCTTCAGGGGAAGGCTCCATTTCTGTGGCACACAGGGCTTTGGGTCAGATAAATGGAGAAACAGGAACAATAAAAATATAAAGGTGCCATTGAAAAGGGCTTTTGTTGCATGAATCTGATTCTTTGAGATTAATCCATGGCTTCAGACTGGACCAGAACTTGAGTGTCACCAAACGCCAAGCCTGATAGTCCTTCCTGCTCTGCGTGTCACCTGAGGACCTTTGTGGGGCACAACGTGTGCGACTTCCTCTGAGAACGCAGGATCGCATTGCACCCCTAGAAACGGGCTCAGAAGACACGACATTAAGCATGCAGTACTACCAGGGTTTGCGACCTGTGGATTTTTTTTTTTTTTTTTTTTTTTTTTTTTTTTTTTTTTTGTAACGCTGGTTGCTGTGACAACAGTTTTACAGCTGCTATGAACGAGAGTAAGAAGGTCCTGTCGAACTTTCCAGAGAGGACTGGGAAGCTCTTCTTGTCAGAGGGGCCAAGGTCGGATCTACTAGGGAGGAAGGGGGGAACAGTTTGAACCATCCGATCACCATGTTGGACAGCTCCAGTTCATCTAAAAGTATCTGGGCCACTCCCATAAAGGATTTGTGATCCATGCGGCCGTAGTCGCCCCAGACAATGATCTGTTGAAAAACATAGAGCAGCATCAGCATAGCCACATACATGACCATGCACTTGTGAAGCACATTAACATACTCTCCTGTTCTGACATCCAAGCTCAAGTTGCCCCAGGCACAGTGGCACATGTCTGCGACCCCAGACAACGTGGGAGGCTGGGGCAGGAGAATGGCGAACATAAGTCTAGTCTGGGCAACTCAGCAAGACTGTCTCAAAATTGAAATGGGCTGGGGATCTAGCTGAGTGAAACAATGTTTGCATAGCTTGCAAGGCCCTGGTTCAATCCTCAGTACTAGAAGAAGAAAGAATGAAGAAGGAAGAAAAGGAGGAGGAGGAAGCTGGACAGCCGAGACTAGTGGGGTGGCTGTCTTTAATACTTGAATCCCGAGGTGCACAAGAAGACTGCTGTGAGGGCCAAGGGCAGAAGCCGTCCGGGAGGCTGGCATCAGTGAGAGGCGGGTTGGTAAGCCGAGCACCTCTCACAGGAAACAGCAGCAGCGTGCATAGCTTTGCAGTGGGCCAGTGCTGCGCAGTTTCAGAGAACTTTGATTCTCTGCAGGCACGAGGCCAACTGCAGGAAATGCTGTCTTCTGGAGGGCAAGTGAGGGCGGGGGAGTACCTGTAACACCTTGCCCTGTGGACTCTCCTCAAAGGACAACAGCTGCTGGTACAGGGGCTCCAGCGTCTTCCTTGCCACTTTGGTTTTCTTTTTGGCTATGCAGACTCCATTATCTAACAGATATACTTTCACGTAGGGTGCTGGGGAGAGAGCAGAGAGAGGACATGTGTGTGTGTGGCCGGGGCATGTGGCCCGTGGGGACCTTTGCCAGCGAGTGCAAAGAGCTGGTGCCATCACGGCCCTGGCCCGCTCCCCGGGTCGCGATCACCACACAAGCGGGGGCAACAGCCGGCCTCTGAGAAGGGCAGAGAGGGAGATCTCTGCTCTGCTGTCAGCTGATTACACGGCTCCAAACGTTAGCTAAGGCAGATGTCTCCAGGAATAGTCAAGAGTGGGCCCTCTGTCTGTTCTGCACCGGACTTGGCTCAGCACCGGGTTGTTTACTCATGCCCACAAATCGCTTTTGCTGCAAGGCATTATTTACTGGGCTGGTGTGGGCACGAGGCACTGGGCCTCATGTGTTCAGAGTAGCTAGGAGGAGGCAGCTGGTCATGAATTCTATGGCTCAAAAATGATCTGGCAGATGTTTCACAAAAACACACTCATGTGGTAACAATCACGAAACTCCCTGAGAAAGGCAGGGCCCAAAGTCTGTGTTGATGTGCTGCCGGGCACAGCACCAGGCCGAGAGGGAGCCGTCCACACCATGTTTTATGTTGCTGCAGGGTTAGACGCCAAGCAATTCGGAGCCAGGAGTCAGCCAGTGGAGGCACTGAGGCTAGAGGCCAACTTCAAAATTCCCAGAGTGGCTTTACGCATCACATCCAGTGATTTCTGCACAGTGCGTCCGGGTCACTGCCCCTGCCCCACGGTACTGCAGTGAGACTCGCGGCACAGCAAGGTATAACAGGGCCTCTCCTCCCTCACAAATGGCAGGGTCCCGAGCATGCGTAGGCTGCGGTACCCTGAGCCTCCGATTCCTATTCTAGAGCCTCCATGTCTTGGGAGAGCCTCAAATCTCCAGACAAACTGGAGAACACAAAGCACCAGCTAATAGGAAGCAACAGCTTCTTGTGAACATGTAGCGACAAAATGAGTGGCTGGATGCCTCGGCAGCCTTCTTCTTGACAGTGGCCATATGCAGAGTACATATCTGACGTGTATCTCCCCAGGGGAGGAGAACACTCACACGGGAGGGATACAAGCTGTGACGCCCCAAGCCAGCCAGGGACAGACTTGCCCTTGCCATCCTTCATTTAACTAGAAACTCAGGTTCCAGCAGCAGCGACAAGGTCCCCAAACTGAAGCGAGGCTTGCGCTCTTACCTGGCAGTGTCTTGGAACCTGGTTTTACAACAAGGCCACGGGCCCGGATGATCTCCACCTCCAACTGTCCCTTCTTGTCCATCATTCCCACCTGGATGTCACCTAGAGGTGCCAGGAGAAACACACGTGCCTTACTGTGCATTGCAGCAGGAGGGACGCCTGCACCAGGACCTCGCCTAGTGTCATTTCCTGAGTAGTTTATTAATTTACTTATATCTAACATGTATACAGTTATTTATTATATATCAAAGTCATTAAAATCATTAGATTAGGGCCAAGGAGATAGCTCAGTAGAATGTGCTTGCCTAGCAAGCACAGGGAACTGAGTTCAATCCCTGGCACCGAAAAAAAAAATTAGATTTACAATAGGAAAATCTTTAGAAATTATCATTAAAATCATTAGAAATTACACTAGGAACAATGAGATTTCTGTTAAACTCTAAGATGTCTTACTCTGTGATAGCAAATTACAGTCTATGAAATTTAGAGAATATAATTTTCAAGCATTGAGAAGAACATGCCAGGGAGTCAGGCACAGACTCACCCATTGCAGGAGTGGCCAGCGTCTGGCGTCCCACCAGCTGTGCGGGGCCGAGGCCATCGAGGAAGTCACTGAACTGGCTGTCAGAGGCCAGGCGGACACCGGGGAAGATCAGGCTGCGGACAGAAGGTCAGATGCCATTCAGCTCCCAGACCTGCTGCACTGGGGTTAAGGCTTCCCCTGAGCCTGGAGGGTGGCAGACAGCTGCTCTGTGGCCCGCCACTTTGCTGGAGCCAACTCCTGCTCTGCCCTGTGGCCCTTGCCACCTGCATGCCACAGGCGCCCTTTTCACTGCACCTCAGGCCTCAGTTTACTAAATGTGGTGCAGCCAGCAGGCAGGCCTGCACGGTCGGTCCCTGGTGCTCGGCGTGTGCAGCACACCTGTGGGCAGGAGCCTGTACCCTTGCGTCCTCCCAGCTGCGCCCGCCCGCCCTCCTGCATCAGGCAGCCTGCGTCCTCCCTCCAGGTCCTGCTGGCCCTGCTCCTCCTTGCACCCCATCTTCCCTTGCAGCTCCCCGAAGAGCTGCCACTATTGCTGGGTGGGGGGCACAAGCTGTAATTCCAGCACCACAAGTTCAGTCTCTGCCTCAAAATAAAAACATAAAAGTCAAAGTCATCACTGTGCTGGCCTCACTTTCTTTCATTCTCTTTTGAAACTCTAATCAACTCTTCGTTTTTACCACTCCACTGACATGTCACAGACCAAAGTTACATAATGAGCACAGAGGTACGCCCAGTCGCTTGTGCTCAGTGCTGCCTGCTGGGAAGACTAGAAGCCTCCGCTCCCTCTTCCTGTTTCTGTTCTTCTTCCTCTTCCTCAGAGCCCCTCCTGCATGCCTGTCCTGGGAGCCTGCACTCCTGCTCCTAGGTGACCACTGAACACCACAGTGCAATCCTCTGACCTCGTTTTTTTTTTTTCTGTAATATTGGGGATCAGACCCAAGGCCTGCACAATGAGCTACATCCTAAACCCTTTTTAATTTTGAAACAATGTCTTGTTAAAAATCTCTAAGTTGCCGAGGCTGGGCTTGAACTCACCCTCCTCCAGCCTCAGCCGCCAGAGTGCTGGATGATAGGTATGTGTCACATGCAGGGCTCCTTCCTGTTCTCTGGCTGAATCCCTGGGTGAGCTAGCCTGGCCCATGGTTTCCAGTGTGATCCACACAGCTGGCCCACACGAGTGTCTCCAGCTCGGATTCACCTGACCCTCAGCCACTCGCTCTGCACAGCTGCGTGGGTACTTTCCTGGTATTTGAGTCTCAATTTGCTCAAGGCTGATCCCAAAGCTCTAAACAGAAAAACCAAACTCTTGTCCTCTGAGAGGATCCCAGTTCTGATCAGCGGCTACCACGCCCTCCCACTGTCCCATCCATGCATGCAGCTCCTTTTTTCTCTGCGACAGACTGAGTTGTGTCCCCTGCAAATTCATATGCACCCCTGGGTGCAGAGGAAAGGCCATGAGAGGACACAGGTAGCTGCCCGCCAGCCAGAGGAGACCCCAGGAAGGCTGGCCTGCTGACCCCCGGATCTTGAACCTCTAACCTCTGGGTCAGTGAGAAGCACTTTCGTTGCTTAAGTCACAGGCACCACATGCACTGGTAAAGCTTACTGTTCTGTGCCAGGGTAAACCCAGCACCTGGACTCACTAGGGCTTCTACTGCTGTGCAAGCTCGCGTCATCTCAGGGTCAGTATGGTCTATAACTTGGAGGTCAGACCCTGCTCCCTAGAGGAGGCTGAACTCCTCGCCTGCTCTGGACCTGAGCTTGGTGACCGGAGCCCTTCTTGCGCTTACCACTCACGCCCTCACTCCCTTCCTGTGGCCTGTAGGGCACCCTCCTATTACTCAGACCCACCTCTTCCTGGCCTTATAGTCTCCTGAAAGTGCACATCTCTGCTGCATGTGATTACTTTTCCTCGTATGGAACTTCTCTAGCAGACTGCTGGTTAATGCAGGCAGGGCTTTTGTCTGTTGCTGTAGCTTACCTTCTAGACCCAGGCCTGGATTTTTTTTTTTTTTTTAATGTATTTGGTACAGGGTCTCACTATGCAGTTTAGACTTGTAGTGATCCTCCTGTTTTCAGCCTCCCCAGTGCTGGGATTATAGGTGTGTGCCACCACGCCCAGACTTGGTGGCCTGTTCAGTGCACCCCTGGGTGGGGCTGGTACAACATGTGGTACCAGGGATCAAACCCCTGTCCCTGCACTTGCCTAAGCAGGCACTTAGTCTGCTGAGCTATCTCAGCGGCCCAGGCCTGGAATATTTTAAGCCTTCAAAAACACTAGCTATGCTCCACTAAAAGGATGACAGAGAAACAATTTGCCCAAGCCTCTCCAACACCAAAGACCCCCTGAGAGCCCGCCACACACGCTGCTGTACTGTTAATGCCTTTATCACCCCCTTTACAGGTGTGTGGTCACCAATGCCACTAACTTGTCAGTGATGGGGCTACGGCATCTTTAGAAATGCTTTAAGATGCCTTAAAGTGAGCTGCCTTATAGGAAGGCTTCATGTAACTACATGAAGAGGAGGCCCGCCAGCCTTCCGGGGCATCTCCTTTTGGTTGTAGACTTCATATAATTTATTAACTAAAATAAAAATACGTTGATACAGACAGCTTCATTCAGTGGCAATTACATTTTTCTTGTATAGTAATTTAATTGAAGTCTTTGCTGCACGGAACTAGCAGATGATAAGTTATTGGAAAGATGACCGCCATCGCACGAGACGAGGTATGTGTCAGCACTGCATTTTTGAAAATTATAACCCTTAAGCAGATCAAAGTTTCTAGAAGCTAGCACTGTCCGCCTGGTGAGGCCCAGTCCTTCCTGCCGGGCCTGCTGTGCGCTACTGCCCGGTGGGGCGACACAGTGTCAGTGCATGAGGTGCGGCAGTCACACTTCAACATCCTGCGTTAAGGCAACTCTGCGCTGAACGCAGTTCCGCCCACCGGAAGCCGTGAGGTCATCTGCAGGCGGCAGCCCGAATGGCTCGGCTCTGCCGCAGGAATCAGCCCGTGGGTAGGGCAGCGCGAGGAGCTGGGACGCGAGCGCAAGCGCCCGCAGGCTGAAGTGCGCGCCTGCGGCTCGGGCGCACTCACTTTCCTTCCGAGCTGTAGCTGTTCATGCTGCCGTCGGTGGACTCGCGGCTGGCCTGGCGGGTCATCCAGTTCCTCATCTCCACGGCCAGGCCAGTCTCTGTGCTCCTCTGGACGGTGCTCCGTAGCTTTTTGCCTCCTCCTTCTGCAGAGACAGAAACCACAGGGCTCAGAGTTCTGTTAGCAGTACCAGGCAGCGCCACCACCTGCCAGTGCTGCCGGGGCCTCAGGTGGGAAGACCTGCGTGTGTCCAACGTGCTCCTAGTAAGAAGACAGGGAAAGGCTTTTAAGACAATTCTAAACAATGCCTTCTCGAGTGATACAAAAATCTTTAAGCAACACAAAGCACCACTGTTTTATTTCCATTTAAAATTGTTCAAACTGCTAACAATAGAAAAGAATTCAACCTAAGGAAAATAGATAAGCTTTGTTGTCACTGTAATATAAAATGCCAGGTTCATTTATGCCTATTGCCTTGTTTTAATTGTAATACTGAAATTATAATAGATTCATTTATACCTACCTTTTTTTTCCTGTTTCTTTTTGTTATAGTAAAAGAATTAGACCTTGATACTTTATGCAGAACAGATGGTGAGAAATACTCAAATTCTAGCCTCAATTTTCACAAGAAAATCTGTTTTTGTCAGCTCAGATATTGAAGGCAAAGAAAGCTCCACGGAGAGTCCCGCCTGCCAGTGGCCCATCTTCGGTGATCCTGAGAAGGGTTCTCGTGGGAGTGCAAGCCCAGCAGGACTGCAAGAAGTCACTTGTTCCTGGTAGCACACTGACAGCCGTGTCCTCGGGGTCCTTCCCTGTGTGGTGAGGAAGCCATCGGAAGACCAGAGGTGGGCGCACCTGGAGGGGTGAGGAGAGCGGGCCGACAAGAAGCCGAACCCAAGCCAGGGACCTCCGGGGTGAAGGCAGCATCGCGTTTGCCAGCTGGAGGCGACAGCACAGGGTACTGGGATCCGCCGCGGTTCTCCGCGTGGGGTGTGTGTTTGGTTAGCTCTCAGGACCCTCCACGCAGCCAGGGCCTGCCCCACCAAACTTCTTCGCAAGCCTCTTATGTCTGCTCTGTTTACATTCCATCCCTTTTCCAGTTCAAGTGGAACGAGCTACAACACGCTTTAGAGTGCAGACAGAAGGCAGACGATGGCCGGCCTACAGGTCTGCTCCACAGACCCGAAGACAGCATTTTAGCAAATTGATAGCGAACACATCACGCTGCTATGAACTGCAACAAGACACAGTGCTTCCCCTCTGGTGAGGGAGAGCTCTTACTTATAGAGGAATATTAGCTGATGAATGTAAAAGGAATAAATTATTGAAGGCTGCTCGTCAGTAGAGGCTAAAACCATTAGATGAAAGACTGGGAAAAGGTATTTAGATACCCCACACAACCTTTCCACAAATAAGCTCTAGTTGTGAAAGGAGAGTGAGAAAAAAGAAAAAAAATTTTTTTTCAGCAAAGTGAGAGCTCAAGCAAACAGGCTGCCGCCCTGCCTTTGGTCTTTATTTTTATATATCTTGAGTCTCAGCCTTCGGGTTACTTTAGGTGAACATAACACGATCCCAAGATATATGTCCAAGATTACTGTTTAGGCTATATGTGAGAACCTGCCAGGCATCTGGGAGCAAGGACACAAACACAGGGTGCCCTTGGTTACTCCCGCAGCCGTTTCTTTTTCCTCGTCCCACATGCCCTGCAGGTTATTTATTTATTTTTGAGTTATTTTATTATTTATTTATTTATTCTTTTTTTTTTTAGCGGAACCGGGGATTGAACTCAGGCCCTTGTGCTTGCCAGGGAAGCGCTTATTCTACTGAGCCATCTCCCTGGCCCTGTTTTTTAAATTAATTATATTGAGAAACAAATAGCAGTGAGATATTTTCAAAACCGATTAGTAGGACAGTTTCAATAATACATTGCATATTGTTGTCTTCGTAGTGGCTATTCATAGTACAAGAGGCAGACATGATATCCTGTCCAAACACTGTTAGTACAAATCTTTCTTCTCAGTGAATTAAGAGAAAGTAGCTGTATATCTATCCTAACTATTTTATATATACAGAGAACAAAGAAAATTCAACCTGGGAGGCCTGGCTACCACTATCATAGTGATCAGATGGTGACGCTAATCATGGAGGCAGCTGTGCCCCTTCTGCTAGCAGATGTACACTATCACCTATCCAGCTGTTCTAGACAAAAACACAACCTTTCCTAATCAAGTTTGTGGGACCAACCAGGGAGGCCAGAGTGACAAAATAAACAACACACACAGGAGGGTCAGCCCAATCCAGAACACGGGATACTGTTCAAGAGAATTAGACTAGTCTTTTGACACAATGCAACACAAACATAATAAAAACAAACAATAAGCAAAGTGAGGGAAGGTTCTAGACTACACTATATCAAGGAGATGTAACCATCAAGTGTAAGTAGGAAAATGTGGCTATGAATTGGATAGCAGATGGGATATCCAATTGCTAATTGTTTGGGGCAGAGAGCAGCACACATAACAGAGAATTACTAGCACTTGGGCAGCTGAGGCAGGTGGCCACCTTGAGTCTGAGGCCAGTCGGGGGGACGTCCTAAGTGCAAAGCTAGTTTACCATACCTACTGAGACCCTGACTCCGAAACAGCTTCTTTTAAGATATACATGTGCAAGTCTTCAGACCTGAAATCTTGTGTTGTCTGCAATCCATTTTCAAGTGTACAGCAAATAAAAAGCACATATAAATAGAATAGGGAAAAAAATTTTAAATATGTGGCTACAAAGCAGGCCTTAGTATTCATGAATTTGCTACTTCGTCTTTATGACCTTACTTCATCATGATCTTCAAGTGACCACACCAAAAAATCGGGTATCAGCTGGGGTGTGGACAGCCCTGGGGGTGCCGCTGGTGAGTGAGCCTGGCTTCTCCCTGCAGCTGTCCACCTCATGAGAACAAGGTGTTCGTGGAAAACTGCCATCAAATAAGGGGTACAGCAGTGAGGCCTGAAAGTGGGGACTGAGAGAGGATCCATGGGAAACAAGTGACTTGGAAAGGCAGTGAGATTACAGATCATGGGACAGAGCCTGACAGTGCTGGCCAGCAACTATTACCTTAAATGTACCATCTGACTTTTAAGCAAAAGAGAGCAGATAGCCTGATGTCGTTGGGTAAAGAATTTCTCATTTGTCAAGGAGCAATACAGGGAACAGTGCAATCCTTTTGTTTACAGGTTCCTTTATGTACATACCGTGTTTATAACAATGCTAGAAAACCAAAACCAAACCAAACCCACATTTGAAAAAAGATGCAGCACCTAGGAGCCGCAGCAGCTCACGCAGTTCCCTGAAGCTGCACAGTAGGTGACTGGACCAGAATGTGTGCAGTTGCCAGGCTCTACGTTCCCTGCTGTTCACGCATCTGTTGTCAGAATATGAGCGCCCATGCAGTCTGTGTGGCTGTGCATGGAGGTGTCGCCATGGGTGCTCTGGAGCGGTCAGGGAGGGCCCCTCAGAAGCCACTGGGTGGTGGCAGAGCAGGGCCTAGGGGAGCCAGGCCCTGTGTTACATTGTTCCTCTACTGCTGGCAAGCTGGGTGACACTGAGCAGGCCAGCCTCTCTATGAGTCAGTTTTCTCAAACTGTGGAATGACAATGATGTTAATAATATGGACCTTGTGGGTTTTTCATGAGGAAGAAGAAAAGTAAACATTTGCAGTGCTTAGGACAGCCTTACCTGACACAGAGAAAGTCTTGTATTAGTCATTTTTCCTTTGCTGCAGCAAAATACACAACACTCAGGTCTTAAAGGAGGAGAGGCTGTCGTTGATGCAGTGTTTGGGGTTCAGTCCATGGTCACTTGGTACCAAGGCGGAAGTGGCCTTGGGGGAGGGCTCCATGGCCACCAGGAAGGAGAGAGCAGACAAGAGTGGGGACATGAACAGACACAGCCAGGCCACACACAGCAGCCCGCTCCTTATCAGGCCCTGCCTCCTCACGGCTCAGCCGTCAGCACTCATCAATGGATTGGCCTGCTGGTGAGCACAGAGCCGCGCGACCCACTTACCTTCCTAAAGCCCGCCTCTGAATGCATGAAGCTCTGGTTTAAGCTGTGACTGTCATCAACCATGACATGACTGCTATTACCAGAGTGGGAGGCAGCAAGCCGGGAGTCCAGGCCAGGCTGCATCGCTCACCAGCTGGCCGCACACAGCCTCCCTGAGTTCCTGGCTGACCTGTGACAGAGGCAAATGTAGGAGCGCAGATGACCTCTGGCACCCGGCAGTTCTGAAATCTGTGAGTTGGTGTCATTAGAGGATCACCAAGACCACGAGGGGTAGCAGACATCAGGGAGATCCACTACTCTGTCGTCTGATGGAATCCAGGAAATGTAGCTAATAACTCTGCAGGACAGCTAGTAGCATACCACTTCTAGTAGCCCCGTAGAACTTGTTTTTATTTATTTATTTTATTTTTTATTTTATTTTTTTTTGTGTGTGTGTTTTGCTCCTTGAATGCCTTCAGGGCACTTTTGCATGGCTGGAGTGTTGTGGGGATCGAACTACAGCAAACTGAGGCTGCCAGCATTGTGGAAGCAGCCACTTAAAGAACTGAGCTAGGGCTGGGCCCCCAGAACTTGTTTTTAAATGTTCCACTATTGAAACATCCACAGACATTTTATAAAGGAAATCTATTTTTAGCACTGCAAAATCTTTGCCTCACATTCACAATAAGAGCAATTTAATCTAAACACAACAATGCATCGTGGTGATTTATCTTAAATGTTCCAGATCAATTCTCATGTTATTCAAACTAAAACCTGTCCAGGACAGGGAAGCTCTGTAGAGTGTGTGAGGTAGGCCACATTCTGAGACTAGATGACCCCATGATCACGTTACTCCATGTGGCAAAGGGACTCTGCAGGTATAATTGAAGCAACCAACTGGTCAACTGCAAGACGTGGAGGCTATCTGAGTGGGCCGAGCCTAACCACAAACTGCCTACAGTAGGAATGAAGCCTCTGGCTGCCTCCAGAGAGGGGACCAGAGAGATTTAAAAGAAAAGGATTTGGGGTACTTTTCCCAATGTGGCTTTGGGACTGACAGGAACCCAAGGAGGAAACCCAGTCACAGGTGCTAGGGTTATGACCACA